GATATTTCGCTGACACACTGTACCTTTTTTGATGAGAAATGATGACAGCATGAGATAAATTTCAAAATACCAATATGAAAAAAAAACAAGAATAGATTAATCATCGAAATTACAGTTACATCGGACTCATACAAGGACTGCAGAAAGTAAATATTAAACAATTCGCGTGATTGCATACGTACTAAAATCTTTATCGAAAACTTCAGCAAAACAAATAAATGTAACGATCTTCTGATAAGATGGGATTTGAGTGTGGACGAGTTTGCACTTTATTATTATTATTTCAAATCATACAATTGTACACACACATGAACACACGGTTTGTCTTTTTACATCCAAATATGAGAACACCGAAGAAAGCATCAAAAAGCGAGAAAAAGGAGTCGACGAATGGATAGAAACGAAATGATAAGAAAAGGTGAATGAGCGTGGGTGTGGGGTGCGGGTGTGATGGGTTGGGTGCAAATATTTTTTCTTTTTATCCCCACCCACACCCGAAATATCATAAAAATACTGAATGAGTGGAATTTTTATGAAACTCTAGCTCATTCGTTCCTCGCCTTGTCGCCATGTTTTAAAATAAGACGGTGGCTTTTTCTTCTTTGATCAAGTTCAAAATGGTATTTATTGTCGCTGACTATAAAGAAACGCAAAAAATTCTACACCGTTTTGGAAGGAAAAAAGATACGAATTTGATGAACGTCTCTGCCGTTCCAACAGGCATTTTTTACCAATTTATTTAGTGAAAAAGGAAAGAAAATCTTGGTCTGTCTGTTTTCATTTTCACATTCTTTACAGAGGGCACAAAAATATGCCAATTAGAAGGATCCGCGCTTTCTTATAAATGAAAAATGCCTTTCAAGAACATTGGATAAACAAAATATGAATTGTGAACAGGTGCAAACTCATGAGATTCATCGATTACTTTACAGAAGAAAAAAGAAGAATGTTCTTGTTTCACTATTAAATTCTTTTTCTTCATATTTTTTTCGTAATTCTTTGCGTTCTTTGTTTTTGTGCTGCACACCTTTTAGAAAATGTCTCACGAAACAATGAATCAGACAGACGAATTAAAAAAAAGATATATGCTTCCTTTCGAAGCGATGAGTGGCAGACACTCAATGGTGAATAGAAGCATGTACTTCTAATGCATCATAGTATATTACATTTCCTATATAAAATTTTTTCTGTCGTTCGACAAACGAACAAAAACAGTTGACTTTCGTCGTCGTTTATTGTATGGCACATCAGAACAAAATTAGAACTTCGAACAGAATTGCGTCCAGTCGTGGTAGTCAGAGACATACAATGACAAAATTTGAACAACTCTTATCGGAGACTATTTTCAAGATTTTCTATTATCTACCCAGGTCGAACAGCCACACTCACAAACGATCCTACACGGAGAAATACGGTGATATACGGAGAAAAAAGCGGTCATTTGTGGTCCTCGTTTACAGAGTCTGTTTACGGTGGTATAGGGAGCGTATACGGTTGTATACGAAGTCCGTAATCGTCGACCTGGGTAACAGCTAATGAAATTTATTTCTCTGTTTATGATGTCACTAGTCGTATGAATGAGCTTGTCTATAATACGCCGAATGTTTATCTGAATTTAACTCGACCGACAACAAAATTTCGTCATATTTTTCAACGAATATTTTGTGGGAAAAATTTTGTTTCTGTTATATTATTCTGGGATATTTTCAATTTAATAGAAAAATTGTCTTGTCCAACTGGTGCAAAACGATTGAAATCAATTTCTCTCTTGGACTTACCTCTTTACACATTTCAAACTCAAATTCGCAACATATTGGATACTTTCCAATATCAGTTGGTCAGTCTGAAGATTGCCTTAACAAATGAGCGATCTTATGAAGGTCAAACTCAAATTATTCAATACTTCACATATATATATTGACGGAATTACCTCTGCTAAAACATTTAGCATTGGGTGGTTCTGATAACATCAGTCTAATGATACATGTGGATTCGACTATTATGAATAATACTGTGATACATTTGACACTTTTTGTCAGAAATTATGAACGTTGGGTACCATTACTATATCGATTTGACAAACTAAAAGTACTCCCAATTGATTTCTATTCAATTAGTCGGAGAAAAAGTGCACTACCTCCAAATGCCAGAATACATTATAAAATTGCAATGCCAGAGCAGTTACCCATCGATTATCAATATCGACTTCGTCACATCAAAGTTTATCAATGTGATATGATCTTATAAAAAGTTGAACGACTATTCCAAGTCTTAGTATCACCGCAAGTTTATTAACTCTGAGCTTATTTAATTGTCAACGTCCTCTAACAAATTATCCATTACCAAGGAGAAAACCTTCATTATTCGATGGTGCACAATGGCATGATTTATTGAAAAATAATTTATCCTCAACAATGAAACGATGCTATATCGAATACGAAGATGTCGATAATACAATGCCCATCAGAAATATTGTGCGAGTTAAAAATGAGTTTATGAGATATAGTGGACAAAATCTACCGTAGGAAGTTTCATGTTCGTACAACCAAAAAACAAAATTTCTTTCTTTTAATTTCGTGTTTATTTAAACAGATGTGAGTTTGCTATTATTCGGACAAATAATCAATCATTTGGTTTTGTCTGAGTGTTGCTAAGATTGAATCATCATTTTGAATGGTCTATTGATTTTAATCATATCTATGCTTTGTAGTTAATAAGAAAGATTTTTGTTGAAATTACTAACATCTATTTCAGAGAATAGTCGAACACCAATATGAACATTTGAAAACATATTTAACGCAAACCAGTTATTTCGACTTTGGCTTCTCTTCCATTTATTTTGGTTTATTGCCTAAAATCATTATACTGTGAATAAGACATATATTCTCTGCTTTTCATGTATTGGACTTCTATGAACACACCCCACCCTAGACAAGACGAAAGAGTTGTAAATGCAATTCAAACAAAGAAGCAATCAAAGCGAAGTACGTAAGTTTGTGTCTCGTCAGTACAGTGCCGTCTTTGCCTGATTTGTCGCATCATCACAAAAGCTGACTTTGCCTGCTCGATATTTCTCACGAGACTTATGCACATGCATCATAATAAAATCAGATACAAGTCCTGCAATGACCATGTAACCAATGCCGGATCCTTAAAACAAAAGATGAAAAAAAGAGCTATCCGGAAACAATATGTGTTGTCGATTGAATTTTACCAATAGCAAGAAATAATTGAAGTGCATTGAATCGTCCAGATGAGCCAGTAATCGACACGACAAAACGAAGACCGTGAATTTTCGATAGGATTCGATAAGTAGTACCGTTCAGACGATATTTATGTGTTGAGCTAGAGATAGTTTTCAATACTTAGAACATCACCGAGACAAACATGCTTGCTCAAATAGAAGACACTTACCGATAATTGATACCTGGCGACTGTTTATCATCACCGCTTTGCAGTAAACGAAAAGCATATGTAGGATAACACAAGTCTTTGACATAATCAAAATTGCAATTCCATTTTTGTTCAATTTCAATTACACCACCCTTTAAAAAACCATATACAGAAATATCTTCAAAATTTCGTATTTACCTCACTGATAAGAGCAGATATATTCGTGTTAAATCTGTTTAGAATATCATCAACACGAAATATTGGACAACGTGGGTCACGAATATTATGATAGCGACAGGAAAAATTCGTATCGTCTCGAATGTTACGCCTTTGAATGAAAATCAAAAGTGAAAGATAAACCAAATGACAATCGAAACATCGATATTGAAAACAAACAGATGTATTTTGAATCGTTGAAATGAGACCGATGTCTTTAGAAAAATAGTAAATGTGTTTAAATCGTCGATACTAATTTGATAATCTCTGTGTAAAAATAAATGGAAAAAGTCGTAGAACAGATTTTCGATTCGAAAACAAACGTCTTACGCGGATGCACTCATTTCTTCGGGACACCAGCCATTGATTTCGCAAACATTAATCGATGGATTTTCTCGACTTGACACACAGTTACCAGTAAAAAAGCCTAAGAAAATGCTTGATGAGATTGACAATATCACATTAGTCGAACATAACATTTACCAAATGTATTCGGTGTTGCCTTGTCTGCTCGACAGCGATTGTTTGTTTGGTTGCAATAAAGCTTCGATTTGAGAGCCTAGTTCAAATAAATTGATCAATAATAATCTTCGTTAATCAATTTCTTACACTCGGACAGTGACTTTCAGTCTGATCATAAGTAACAATTTGATGAGTGGCAATAAAAAATGCGTTGTTTTCCTAATCAAAAGATAGTGAAGATCATCGAATATCGATCGAGTACAAATACACACCAGCGGTGGAATCCCGTACTCAGCCGTATCCCATACAATGCGCGAATGATTGGCTGAAATGCAGGCAAATCAAGTAACGCTCCCGTTCAATAACAAAAAAAAAAAACATTCTACCAGTCAATGAGGATGAAATCTTTAGATTAACATTGGAAACGCCTTTGACTTTGCTGACACTCGTTCCACGTGGTGTTTCAAATTCTTGATATCCTCGTTCGTGCCACACGATGTATCTAAAGACATTAATCGAATCAGATCTCTTGTATATGATCTACTTACAATGCTATATAAGTACAGATAACCAATTGAATGATACGATGGATCAAAGCAATCGAAGAATTAGGTACTTCAACCATTTTGACAGTTGAATATGTGAGAAAGGTGCTGGAAATTAATGAACGACATCCGTCGTTTACTACATTCAAATGGTAAAAATTCATTCCTTAAGTTATCTTTTATCGAGAACGTCAGCTCACCCCTTCGAATTCTGGTATTGTTTTTATCAAGCATTGTGAAGTAATTGAAACAGCGACCGTACGAGTACTGGCAACCTGACAATGAGTTTGTTGGAAACCGTCAGACGGTATAGGCAGTACTGAAAAATATAATTGTAGAAGACAAACGGCCGAAAAAAACCATCCAAATGTTTTGTTCAGTGAAATACTTGCAAGACAAAAAGGGAGACACATGTGTGCATGTAATTGAATGTCATTCTACTAACAGAGCACAAAGGCTTGTTGATAATTATTAACTTTTTTTATGAAACACGATTAAAAATGACTGTTGAAGTCTATCGCGAGAAAATTGAATTCATCCACAGACCATGACAGATATATCGATGTACTTTTTGACCCCGTCACAGACGATGAGAGGGATATCGAACTCCCATATCATGATTTTCAGACCATTGAATTTTGCATTTTCGGACCTCAGACTTCTGATTTTCTAAATCGGAAATTCGAAAAACCTATTTTTCTCTCATAATACGACAAGTAACGTTCATTGAATGCCGATTCACTAGTCCCTAGACTGAAAGAGGATCAAGGAAAATTTGAATGAATATAACCATGTGATCAAGAAAGGTAGATCTTTCACGGTCTACGATGGGTTCTAAAGTCTGATACGTCGAGACGTTTGTCAAGCTGTCTAATTGATCTAAAAAACTAGCATGTCGAAATGTCTCAATCTACGAAGAGTTCAGTTTGTGATTTTTAAAACTTGTTTCAGACAGACACACAGACAATTTGGGATTAATTTCCGATTGCAGACCCTAGGCTTTCAGTCTAGAGAATATATTAGCCACGTTTACAGACTATTGCAGACTTTAAGAGACCTTTTTCCCTTGACGTTGTGACGAATTGAGTTGAATATAGCAAGTATCTTTATATTCATGTTCTCCTGGACTGATTAGTCTAGGGTTTAGAAAGTTAAATTAAAACCAAAAATGTCTATCTGTCTGTGTATGTGTGCGGGTGGCTGTTTGTAACACGTTTTTAACCAGTATCTCTCACATTATTGTTTAAGGCTTTGGTTTTATTCCTTTATGGATGTATAACGACTATTATGTCTCCGAACAGCTTATTATATAAATCGTGATTATGAATAAACAAGTAACGTTCGTCGAAAACCGATTCACTCGTCCTTCAACTGAATATGTACTCTGTGTTACATTAATTGTCATCAATACAATCTACAACGTTGAATTGAGTCTCTGAGGGATTAAATATGAATCGCGATGATATTAATTTAAGCATACAAGATATCACTTATGCAGTGCATTTCAATCCCTGTCGTCGTCTGTAGAGCAGCAGGTCGAAATTCTAGCTAGTCTATGGCGAAAACCAAAAAAGCCACATAATTACCATCGTACAGACCCTAGACTATTCACTCTAGTGGATATTAAAATTTATAGAGAGCAATTGACATCGATCTCCTTACTGGTTCATTATACTCTAACAAACGAGCCAATCTCCTTTTGACCTCACCATATATTGTGAAAAAAATACTGGAAAATAATTCCTAAGTTATCATAAAGTGTGACAGACATATCTACAGGTTATTTAGGATTTTTCACTCGTTATGACCTTTAGCTTCTGGCTTTCAAGAACTCCACAGAAAAAATCAATTTCGATTATATGAACGAATTTTGTGATTTTTAGTTCATCAGATAGAGCAAAATATCTAAACCCGAATGCACTATAGTTTATTGATTGTACGATGTGATTTAAGGATACTATATAGGTTTTCTGGGTGTGGGTGCTGGTGTGTGTTACAGTGTATTCTTATAGCATATACTTCGATCCTCTCTATTCTCTTCTCTTCGATCATTTCTTTATTTTGTTTCTGCTATTTCTTTTCTTTGGCCTTGTTTAATCTTCGTATTCTTTTCTATTTCTTCCTTGTTTTCTTATGTGCGTATATAAACACTGTTTTCCTAAAAGAATAAAGAGAGAAAGAAGAAAACACATCTTTAACTGTGTTTGTCGCTCTTCGTGAGCGCAAACTTTAACAGTGTGAGTCTTCTATTGATCTATGCCCATACTCACAACACCCACACCCCTTATTTAATTTGAAAAAATTGACACTAACTGGATTTCATTATTTTACAAATTATTCCCTTTTCATAAATCAGATGACTCACTTAAGTCAAATAAAACTGATGAAAAACACTTAAAACTTTCACTGAGAAACAACGTTTGATTTAGTTCAACAAATATTGATCATTGTTTGATCCGTATTGATAAAACAAACCTACTTTGAAACCATTCCGCTATCGAACAACTTCAATTTCATACAAAATGAACTCTAGTACAAACTTTGTTCGAATCCTATTCTGTCTATTGTTGCGACTTACTCTTGAAAAGAATATGTTGAAGTGTTGTATATGAACATTTGGTAGGTAGTTTTAGTATTCCGTGCATATTCTCTCTAGTGAGTAGTCTCATTCTAATCGATTTTTTTCATTTATTTGTAACTCTGTTACAATATCAAGCAAAATATTCTCGAGGGACTGAATATTTTCATCAGTGATCACACAATGTTTTGTGATGAAAATATGCTGAGAAATGAAAATGAGATTTCTGTTAATAGCAATCAGGCAATCAATAGAATGAATGTGTACTTTGTGCTATATGCATCATGAGTTAATGAATGTATGATTGCTGTTGAATGTGTGACGTCAAGACTCGCTCTTATTTGCACAAACGTATACGTGAATATGGAGGAAATATGAAGTCTCACAGGAATATCAAGGATACGAAAATAAAGAGTAATCTATTATTGATCGAGAAAATGGTGAAATGAACGACTTTCTTTTCGTCAGTTTTTGAACTTGCACTCGAGCGTTTTTCTGATCACCATTCTCGTGCATTCCTCAATGTCAACTTTCGTAAATCTGAGACATATCTAATCAATGTGTATTTATTCGATGATCTCTACCAGCTGATCGGTCTGAAAATTTTCAAATACCAACTCCGTTCGGTATCTTATTTTAGTAGTTATTTCAATAAATAGGAAACTTTTCATCCGATTGTTATTCCATGTACGAATAGTTCGATTTCAGCTTAGCATTTTCATTGGCATATTATTAAATTATATTTGATGACAACTACTATACCACAGAGTATCAATTTAGTCTAATGATAAATGAATATGCATCCGATAAACGTTACTTGTAGTATTTCTACATTTTGATCGATTGAAATTCCAAGATGAGAAAAAATCCACTTTTCTTATTGTCGACGTGACTTTTTGGTCTTAACCATAGACTAACTGATATTTTGACCAGCTGCTTGACTGACTAAGACGTGGATAGGAACATGCAATAGAAATAGTCTGCTTGATGTTTAAAATAATCTCATTGTGATACCTATATAATCCAACACAGACAGATGGTGTTAAATATTGTAGATTATATTTGATGACAACTAGTATAACACACGTACCAATTCCGTCTAAGAACAAGTGAATCAGTATCCGATGAATGTTACTTGTTTGATAGAAATAAGTATAACATAACTGAATTCGTCGAATTCATCACAATGACATATAACGAGTGAATAGATAGTACAAATCTGCGTTTGATCATCCTGCAAATATATTTGCTAATATTAAATTGAATCAACTTTCAGTCTAGGGCCAAGTCAATTGGTATCCGAAGAATGTTACTTGTTATAATTAGAAATCCATAATATTACGTTGACAAGTCTTCACGATCTGTAGAGCAGGGTAAAGGAGTTCACTTCTCTCATTTTAAACTTCAACACACCTTTCCAATCATGTTTCACAAGAAAAAAGAATAGAAATGGGAGTGAATTTAAGACCATGAAAACCAAGCGACAAATGTGTCGAACGAAAAAAGTGCATTTTCTGGATTGATTATACGATTAAGTAATTGTGCTCAGAAAATTTAGTTTCACGCAATGCTGTCTGTAAGGAAATGAAAGCCCCAAACTCTCATGAAAACTTACACTCACTATTTTCATAATGAGTTTCACCAAAATTATGCAATGTATCCAACGATATTTTGTGGAACTCATTATAAAAACAGTAAGTGTAAGTTTGAATGCGAGTTCGAAGACTCCTCATTCCTAGCGACGAAGTCGTCTGAAGGAAGTGGAACCTCACTAGAGACTCGAGGGTGTGTGTGTGAATGCCTATTCTAAGCATACACCGTACTCATCCATACCCTAGCCATGGCTCTTGCCAAAATCGAATTCTGGCAAAGTGTTCATGTTTGAGTTTCCAGAGTGAGTGAGTATGAGATGAGAGCGGATCTCCTGTATAGATATGGTAGTAGACAAGACTTTCACACCTAACCAGTATTCACATCTATCTCACAATAAAACAGATAATTGAAAAGTTCAACTATTAGCTAATGTACCTCTGGTCAGAAATAGGTTTTTAAATGGCTGCGTCCTTTCAAGAATACATTAGTGTATTTTTTCACTGTCTTCTCTTGACATCTTTTTTATGTGAATGATTAGAGAATGTAACAATTTGATATTTTAGTCAAAAGACAAAAACACAAAAATTGACAAATACAGTTGTCATTTATCTTCAAATGAAAAATCTAATAATAACAAAATACCAGGTGCAATAATAATGTGCTTGTGTTGTTTAAGTTTCGATTGTAAATGTTGCATGAACGCTTGTTTCGATTCTGCCTTAAAACGACCATGAGCTGCTACTACAGTAAGTACTACAGTAGATATTGAATTAATTGAAAAAGGAGCTAGAGAATGAAAGAGAGTAATAAATGTGTTGTATTAGTTACTGTAGATGAATATTCCGATAAACACCATATTCGTTGTTGATCTCCATCTAAATCTTTAATCAATTGTTGATGAAATGGATCATGAATATGTGTAAGTATCGTTAAAATAATAACAACAATAATTATCCGTTTCGCTATTACTTTACTTTTCTTTTTGTTAAATGCTACACCTTTGATGACATTAAACATTCTTTCACTAGCTGCACAAGCATTCAATCATTCACTTGATGCTAAAAAAGATTCAACAATTATTTCAATTGAAATACAACTAACCAAGAAAATAATGATGCATTAATTATGATTGACATTTGTGAAAGAATAAGTTGCCAAAATTTAATTATTAATGCAATAATCATACACATTGACTAATCGATGATACAAAAAAATAATAACCACAACCAACTGCTCTCGATTCTTTGACTTGAAATGTTGCTCTAGAGAATGAACCCATAATGAATTCTGAAATCCACATAATTGTATTAATAATAATGCTGACTTGGACAATAAATGATTGTCGATGAAGCGAAATATTTGGTTTAATATGATATCCAAGAATTGGATCGAGTGAAAAATGAAATCTTTGGTTGAAAATTGACATTATGTTCCATAGTAACCGTCATTACACACACAAATAGATATTGTTGAACATGTTTCATTGTTGAGAAAACATCGACCATCATTATAACAAAGATTTTTTTCTCTACAATCATGTTTCATCGTATGATTAAATTCGAAACTATTTGAAAAACGATCACTATCAAATATACTCATGTAATATTCATCATAAAAGAACGTCAATTATAAATCTTGACCACTTGAAAGTGGATAATATTTCACCTGACGTAGATATTCGTGCTGACGGAGAGTATCATTGAGAAGATGATGAACCGGCAAACAACGGTTCGTTGGTAACATTTGAGTATGAATATATTCTGATGGTATAAATCTTTCTCTTAAAACAATTAGATAATAATCACCATCATGTATTTGTATAAAAAAAATGTTAAATGGTTTTCGTACATAGATGATCATAGTATTTTCACCGAAAGCAATCTTTTTTAGTGTGATCATTCGTTCATATTTTACATATTTGTCAAATGCTTTTATGTAATGTAGAATGAATAATGAACTTATTGTTAGTATTGTCTCATCTGTATGAATATTGATTTGATTGCTTCTATCTTGACATCGTTCACCTGGATAACGTTCTTGACAAACACAGATAAATTCATGTAAATTAATACGATCATCAATCGCTATGCAAAGTCCATTATGCTGACATGGATTTTGTTCATTGATTGAGGGTGTGTGGGGGCGTTGTAGTGGATATAGGTGTGGCATGGGTGTGGATGTGGGTGTGGGAGTGCGGTGTGGGTGTGGCTGCGGTTGAGGGTCTGGGTTTGGGGTGGATATGGATAGAGCTGTATGCCTTTATTTCCTGCACACCTACCCGGAGCCACACACCCTTTTTACGATCGATTGTTCATTTTGTGTCGAAAGATTATTATCCATAGTAATAGAAAACACTTATTTCATATAGTTTTGTCATTCTGTCTGACGAATGATACAAAAATTCTTGAAAAAGTACCAGTTTCTATTGTTTTTGAATGAAGGATAATTAAAATGTGATTTTTTTTTGCGGCATAAGTGTGTATTCAATAAACATTCGTAGCCATATTGTCGATACGATGATCATGAATGGATCTAAATGCTCATCACCATATGGGTGTGGGTGGGGATGAGTGTAGGTGTGGGTCGAGTGCTGTTGCCTTTTCATTCACAATGTGCATTTGCAAGCCCACCCACACCCACATTACACTTATTAAACGCTTGAACTGATTGATGGAATATTTGAAAGAGTACGTTAATAATTGAATTTATCATGTAAGTATTGTGTTATTAAACATCTGATAAGAAAAAAACGCGTGTTAAAGAGTAATGAAGCAGTAGATATTTATTCTCATTTTCATCATCAAAGATACTATGACAATGTCAAATATAGATATTTTCATGAGAAGATTTTTACGTTTTTGATTACTTTTGAAACACTTATCGAGAAGAACTTGTTTAAAAAAAAACACAATTTAGTTCTTATAGAATAATTTATTTTTATTGATTCTTTGCAATAAAGGATAGAGATAAATAAAAGCTTTAATAAAAAAAAAATTTAATGATGAAGATTTTTAGTTTTTAAAAATCAATATTTTTGTTATCTTCATTTTACAAAACAAATCAATTAATACCACTATTTATTATTATAGATAAAAAATTGAAATTTTTGTGGTTTCTAAAATGTTTTTTTTTATCCTAAAATGTAGATTGTATCGCTAGATGAAGTTGAATAGGAATAATGATCAACTATTTAATTATGAATGTTTATTCAGAATATATAAGTTATAACTACGCTTGTGATTAATTAAAAAAAAAAAGTCAATATATGCATAGAGAAAGTTCTAAGTTCATATAATCTCATGCAAAAACATCAACACTATATCGATCAAGTGAAATTTTTTCAAGAATTTTTCCTGCTTCTTCTTCATCACATTGTTTTATTTCTGTAATGATCTTGATAAAACATGTTTTCACTGATACACCTAATTTTTTAGCACTTCCACATGTATAAAAACGTGCACCACTACAATACAATTTAGCAATTTCATTTCGATCTTCCCAAAGCAAATCTTGAACATATTTTTTACCATTATTTTCTTGACGTGAGAAAACAGATTTGATTTCTACTGCACCAAGTTTTGACCATCTATCCAATTCATCTAAATACAAAAAATCTTCATCTAATCGACATCCATAATAAAGAATCGTGCGTCCAATTTCTCTTCCACATACTAATTGTGCTGCTCTTTCCTGAATAAATCCACGAAATGGTGCAATTCCAGTTCCAGCAGCAATCATTACAATTGGTATTTTTGTATCTTCAGGCGGATGAAATGTAACATTACTTGCTCGAACACTACAACTAACTCGATCACCTTCTTTTAAATTTGAAAGATAGTTTGATGCAACACCATAATATTGTCCGTATCCACTTAAAGCTGAAGTATTGAGAATATCAAATGTAATTGTCACTACTTCAGAATTCCATATAGGTGAAGATGAAATACTATATTGACGAATACGAAGTGATGGAAGCATTCGAAGATATTGTGGAAATGTAAGTTCACATGAATGATATATTTCAAGAATATCTAATATACTAATACGTTTATCAAGAATTTCTTTTTCATATTCATCTCCACCAAGATTTGTTAGATTTATTTGTTCTTTTTCATTTTTACATAATCCAGCAAGAGTTTCAATTTGCTTTTTACTGATTGGTTGAACTAATTCAACATAACCACGTAAAATATCAAACGCACTAACTGGATAATTAGTTGGAAAAAACGTATTTGTAGAAGAAACAATTTTGATTTGAGTATCGGTAGTTAAATTGAATCTTTTGAGAACTCGATAAACAGTTTCAATTGGATTTGTTGGTAAAACTGCAAGATAATCTCCAGTACGATATGTCTGTCCTTTTGGAAGTTTAATCTCAAGATGTCGTTTCATAGGACCAATTTCACTTGCTTCAACTAAAATCTTGTTTCGTAAAACAATGCCAAAATCTGTTATTTGTCCAAGATTTCTTGTTGAATTAACTATTTCAATGGATAGTTTTTCGTCACTGATCACATTTTGATCATCAGTATCTTTTCGTAATATTTGAAAGAGATTTTCTTTCCAAGCTTCAAATGCACCAAAAAAATCACCTGCAGCATCACCAGCACCACGTTCAATAATTTTTGTGCCACCAGCATTTTCAATCATTTGATCAATGTAAGTCGGAATTTTTTGATATGTATCAACCCAATCATGATGTCCAGCTCCAAATACAGCATAATGTATTTCTAATTTAGGTTTTGATTCAAGATAAGCTACAAATTGTTTGGCATTTTCACATGGTTTACCTTCATATGAAGCAGTAATTACAATAATAGGTCGATCATTTGGAAGATATCCAACAGCAGAATCGAGAGTAGCTACTGTAGCATTATAACCATAAAGAGGTGCTTCAGATGCTAATGTACTTGCAAAAGATTCACACGAACCAGAATTACTTCCAAAAAGAATACACATTGGTCGAAGATGTTTATCATCGACTTGTTGTTTTATTTTTTCTGGTATTTTTTCTAATTGTTTAATATTTGTATCAAGTGAAATGCTAACCGGTTGACGCGGTCGAACTCGTATTTTGAAACCATCAGGTTTGATTGTTAATGTTTGTTTAATACGAAGATCATAAGATGGATCAACAAATTCAATATTAAAATGTTTAAGAATAATTGCAATAGCAAGAAGACTTTCTTGCCATGCAAAGGGTCGTCCAATACAACTACGTTGACCATTACCAAAAGGTTTCCATGAATTTGGTGGAAGCTTTTCAAATCCACCATTTAACATTCTTTCTGGAAGAAATTCTTCTGGTCGATCCCATACTTGTGAATCACGATGTAGTTGAGGCAAAAGAACCAATATTAGCTCGTCATTATGAATTATATAACCACCTGGCAGCATGATATTGTCTTCCTTCGATTCCAAACCAAATAATGGCGCTGTAGGTTGCAAACGAAGTGTTTCTTTTAGTACTGCATCAATATATTTTAATTTGCTTAAAATATCAGCTGTAATTTCATTATATTGATCGACTTCTGCTTGTGCTTTCTGTAAAGCATGTGGATTTTTGAGAAGATAATACATAGTAAATGACAGAAGTCCAGATGTTGTTTCATGTCCAGCAATCAAAAAAGTAACCATTTGATAACGAATATTTTCATCAGATAATTGATAACCAGTGTCGGGATCTTTACCATTAATCATTCGGTTAAGTAAATCATTAACATCATTTGGATGTTCTCGTCTTTCTTTAACAATTTCATCACATAGGTTATGAATATATGCAATGTCATCATTATAGCGACGCGTAGTTGTCACCATAAGTGTATTTTGTAAAGAAAATCGCTGAGCACGTCTACCACTTTCAATGAGAACATTTACCATAGCATCAACGAAATGATGCATTGTCTTCTGATAGAAACTGTTAAATCGATAATTAAAACTGCATAGAGCAATAGTATCCAATGTTAAACGAGTGAAATTATCACAAACATCAATTTCTTCACCAGCAAATCGTTCCCATCGAAGAATAAGTTGTGAGCATATATCCATCATAGCAGGAAACATACCGTGAATTGCTTGTGGTCCAAAAGCAGGCATTAAAATTTTATGCGCAAGTCTCCAATTTAATTCTGGCGTATATGCAGTAAAGAGTCCATCACCACTCACGGCTCTCAATTCTTGTAGAGCTTGACCAACTTTTTTATCGAATTTCGACTCGTCACATACAAAATTGACAATTTCTTGACTAGATACTATTACAATGCTTTTATTAAAAATAGTCAATCGATAAATATCACCGTACAATTTTTGAAGTTTCTGAAGTGATTCCAAAAAATGATCAGGATTTATCTCTTTCAAATTTCCAATCAAATACGTTTTTTGAGGCTGTGGAATTAATTTACTCATAGCAATAGTTCACATATAATAATTAATTATGTTATTAAATTATATCTAAAGTTTAAAAAGAAACAACAATTTATATAAACAAAATTCAATGTAATATATTATGTTCAACTTTTATATTCAAACATCATTCGATACAATCGGGCATTCTGCTAGATAAATTACTAAATTTTATCTTCAACTTATTTTATTTCATTTTCGATATCAATAGCATGACTCAAAGACTTTAAAGCTTTTGTCATTTGCAAAGCGTTCATCAATTTAAATTCTGATTGAAAATAAAAGTAATTCTGTTTCAATTTATAAAGAGTTCATCTTTTAGAAGATATATTAAATATATAAACATCTCTACCCATGATATACCTTTGAAAAAATCTTATATCTCACTCTATATTCATTCAATTTTGTATTGAAATCATTTTCTAGATGCATTGGAAAAATACTCTATAGAATTATTATACCTCATAATTAACCCTTTGAGGACGGTGGGACATATGTTGTTCCATCTTTTTTTTCAAAAGAGAACAGTGTTTTGTTTAAATTAAACTGTTAGACCTACAAGGCCATATAGCTGAGTGCTTCTTCATAATGAGCATGTCTCCATACTGAGAGATAGATAATCCATCCAAACAAGTTTTTCTCGGAGTAAGTCTCTCTAATATGAATATTTCCTTACTTTAAACAGTAGGTGCTTATCTCTAACTTCATGAGCACTAACAATCGCTGTTATGTTAGCAACAATTGTTCTAATACTCACGCACAGAACGAGAAAAAATTATGTTATGTGTATGATGTTATGACAAACAATCATCCGGCACAAAAAGAAAATGGACTAATTTTGCATATTTAACAGAAAAAAAGAACAATATTAGATAACAGCAACAATGCTTGGTGTTATATCTCGTCGTTTATGTGGTAACAGCTAGTAACATCAAACATGTCAATAGATATTGATTTAGCTTTGATTTAAAAAGTTGAATTAATTAATTATTGGAAAGAAGAAAAAGGTCACATTGTACAGGTGAATAGCAATTGTAACTGAATACTTGTAGATTCATTAAAAGAAACTGAAAAACTCAATAACGAATCCCTCACTAAACTGAGCCCTTTTGTTCAGTCCTAATGTTGTCCATATTAGAGAGGTTTGACTGTAGATTCTCTTCAAATGTGCTCTGTTTTTTCTGCTACTATACAGTAATATCATCATTTCTCTCTTTTGTTGCCATCTATTCTCTTTCAAGACTATTGTCACTCTTTACTGAGCTTATTCATGTATACATGCTGCTGTTCTCATTGACGAATACACGTTGTTCTTAACTTTGAAAAAAACTCTTTTGTTTTCCTTCATCACGAAGTAGAAGTATACTTCCATTCTTATTCAATAAAATATTTATACTTATTCACTCAAAGGGAAATGAACACTACTTGAAGTGTTCATTTCTTTATATTTTGTTTATTATTACAATTAAATGAATTGAATAATATGGAAAAAATGAAACCGCTGATGAATTCTATGGTTCATACATTAGTGACGATAACAACGAGTGACCTCAATTTCAATTATAATGAATTAACAGACAATCTAATTAGATGAAATTAGAGTTTATGGTATTTAAAAGATGAAAAAAAAATTTCTTTTCTGATTACACACTAAAATAAAATGTGTCGCACTTATGTGTCGTGAATTATGGTGTCGCAGACTCAATGATGAAATGAAAATGTGTCGTATATAAATTTGTTTCGTTCTGTCTGCTGCCTATTCATTCACCGTCTTGTCTTGGGCATACAATCATACACAGACAACGCAATTGGAATATGCAGAACTTATATATTTTCATATTAGTTATTTTTTTAAAAATTACTTCTCGATATTTATTTGTCGAGAACATGTCGATCTTGATCGATGATCGAGAAAGGACTACACTGAAGCGGTTTGACGCAGATTGAACCAGCTCGAAGTCGGATGGATCTCAAGATCTGACCTACTTGAATTTTCAGTATAGCAATTATTAAATGGAATAAATTCGAAAAATCTGTGCTAATTTGTTTCTAGGAATAAATTCAAAATGCGCTGTATGGTAGATTCGAGCCATGTTTTCAAAATGTGTCACATGTGTCGTACTAAAATGTGTCGCAATCAGCTCCTCGTGTCGCATTTTGCGACACATTTTATATTAGTGTGTATCATAAAATGTTTATGCAGTCATTTTCAGCCAAATCAAATAAAATGAAAAAAAAATCACTTTTCGATAAAAAAATTCCGTCCTCAAAGGGTTAAAGACGAAAGGATTAGAAACTATCGTTGATATATGTATGTTTTGCTTTATTATATTTACATTTCAGATGCTTCAGACTTTTTGTGTGAAATCAAACGGTGCGTTCATGGATGTATATCGACTTATTCTGATGCAAATATATTAATATTTTCATATGCTTGGTTTCTTTTTCAATAAAAAAAAATCAAGCATGTCCTAAATTGTGACTGCCACTAACGAAAAGTTTCTTTTTACGGATATTTTTTGCGTGAAGGTAAATCGAAAAATTTCACTTAATTGCGTGAAAAAAGTAGTATTATTAAACATACATCTTTATCAAGTAGTCATAGGAGTTTTATAGGTAACTTACTAAATAAATACAACTTACTTAATGTTTTGTTGCCTAAAAAATTATTGAAAGTATTTTTGTTCGTTGCTTTAGTGTGGTATGTTGAGTTTCGCTGCCTTTTTATATGTCACGACTTTTTTCATTCTGTTGGAATATGTCATGTAGAATTTCGTTCGTCCAAAAAGTACGTACTATTGTGTCTGTGCAAAAAGTACGTACTATTTCGTTCGTGAGGGTAAGTTAAAGATATAAATAGCTGTCACTACGCATTTCAACTCGGCTAAGAGTCTCATCCCAGCCAGATATTGCAACGGAAAATGACATTAAAATGGTTTGAAAAAGTAATAAAAATAATGGTGAAAAATAATCATTTGGAAATAAACCGGAATGGTTTAAAGGATAACATTTTAATACCTAACACAATATTTATTTTCCGGCATTTTTTGTGACAGTTTTTCATCATTATTTGTATCACTTTTTTGACAATTTCGATGCCATTTCTAGTTGCAACATTTTTCATCGATTTGAAGCTAGCACGACGACCAATCAAAATCAATCTCACAACCAACCAATCAAAATCGGTCCATAGTTTACCACTGACAATCCATAAAATACCCACCCTACTTTACATAGCAACCGAATAAAAACAAAGATGAAACCAACATAACTCAAATTTCCATGCGAAA